GACATTCTGACATACGACATTCTGACATACGACATTCTGACATACGATTCTTTCTGGTCTCCTTGTTTATCCCGTGTTGTTGTGGTGTTTAAGTCGTGCACTCTTAAAAAATAATTATTTCAAGATGTTACGCCTTTTATGCTTTACATTTGTGATCAGGTTTGTTTGCTGCTTTATTTATTAAACACTTTATATACTGTTCCTCATTTTAAAAAGAAGACGAGTTGTTATTTTTATTTGGTGGTGTAGTAATAAAAGACGCCAGTTTAGAAACAGACTTCTGCAGGTGTGTTGCCGTTACCTTTGAGAACATTGTACATTTATTCCAGATTTATTGCTGATCTTTGCCATAAATCCACTCTGAGGAACAACCGCCCTGAAGTTGCTTCATTTAGAACCAGATTTGTGTCGTGCACGCACAGCGATGACAGCTGATGCCTTCAGGGACCCTCTTCCAGCATCAAACCTCTAAAACACTTTCTCTAAGGTCCAGTGAAAGTCGTTATGATTCGTATGAACCAATCTTTCTCCAAAGAGCAGTTTTATTTTTAGAGCGGGAGCACCACTGCGACCAATCTTTTCCAATCTTGCTGCTTCATCCTGAAACGTTACTTTAAATTGCAAATGGAGAAGCCGTGAGCTGCAGGGTTCACCGTCTGAGGGTCAGTGCGTGTGTTCGGGGAACACGGCGTTTGTTTGTGCAGCCACTGAATTATCAGCACCTTTAAGATTTCAGATGTGATTTTGAAGCTTTCACCAACGTTTTCCTCGTGTTTCGCTCCGAGCAGCTTCTGCGCTCATCACATGTTGTGACCTTGTAAATAAACTTTGGAAGCTCCAGTTGTTAGGAACGCTTTTATGAACGTGAAGGCTCCAGTGTACAAATACAAGAGTGTTGAATCACTAGAACAGCATTAAAAGTACTGTATAATATTTAATTTATCAGTAGTACCCTCTTCCTCCATACGTAGCTTCATAAAGTTATTTATTCTTAAACCACGTCTAAATTAAAACTGAAAAAGGTTCAAGGTACTCACTGCAATGTCATAAAGAAAATAAAATCAGCACTTTTTTTTCCCACAAATCAATGGTTTAAAATGTCTTCCAATAAAAAATTAAACGGTTTATGAACAGCTGCCAACCACAACATGTTTGTTTACACACAAACGTCCAACGTGACTGGAAATAGCTCAACGATGGAGACGTCTATTAAAAACCAAATGACTGGGAGTGACCGACAGTTCTGATGTTTGTTGAGTAAAGTGTGCACATCAAGTTCTTTGTTTACATCGAGTGTGGACCCACATTTCAGAATGGCATATGAGTAAATGTGTAAAACTGCTGAAGTAAACTTGATTCATCTGCACAGTTTGATTTTCAGCTGCAGCTCAAAAACAGAAAACTGGAACAAGTTCAGTTTGTGTCGTCACTCGGTTCAGAACATGAAACTCAAATTTTACACCGAGTGAAATATTTCAAGACTCTTGTACTTTTGAAGATGACAACTTACAGATAAATAAAAAAATACAACTCGGACCAGAATCATCCAGAACCAGCTTCTGTTTGTCATGTGGGTCGGTGTCGAGTCCTGCTGGAAAATGAAACCAGCATCTCCATGAAGCTCGTCAGCAGCAGGAAGCATGAGGAGCTCTGTAGATGCTGCGTGGACTTCAGGAAACCCAGTGGACCAGAACCAGCAGAGGACGTGGACCCAAACCATCCCCGACTGTGGAAACTTCCCTCTGGACTTGAACAACGTGGAGTCTGGACTTCTCCTCCTCCTCCACCTCCACCCCACCACCACCACCACGAGACCTTCATTTATAAACCTTTCATGTGAGAAGAGGACGTTGGACCACAGAGACGGTCCAGCTCTGTGTGTCCTCAGCAGGAGGACGTTGGACCA